ACAGTTCTCTTAGGTCAATGCGGTGACTTCTGCAAAAGGGGCGTGTGCACAATCAGTCTTTTTTATAATCTGGAGAGGAGCCTAATGACCACCAGCTGAGCGCAATTACCTTCTGTAATTGCATAATTGTTCCTGGTGCCTAGTAGCTCTTCGATGGCGTGCATCCAGGAACAACTCACTGCTGGCTTCTGGATCACTCTCTCTTGTCTCCTCCCCACTGGTCCAAGGCTCAGGCGCCACCTAGTGGCCAACCAGTCTCTCTGCGCCCTGCTCGGAGTCGGAACCCTGTCCAGGGTCCTCCACATCCTCCAGAGCCGATTCATAGAGCCCCTCGCTGTCGGAGTCTGGTGGCAGCTCCAACGGGTTCTGCTGGGCCGCAACAGTATGGGCTAGTTCACCTCCTTCCTCCAAGACTAGTCCCAATAGGTGTTGATGGGGGGGATGGGTCCAACCCACACCCTTTCTTTGTGGGCTGCTGCAGGACTTGGTGCTCTCTCCAGTTACTTTTAACAGCTACATGAAACCTCTGGGTGAAATCATCCATCATCATAGGATGAAATATCATCAGTGTGCTGATTTCACCAGTTTAAACATCTCCATCCCAGGTGAAGTTAGTGATGCTGTGGACACTTTCTCATGGTGCCTGGAGAATGTGAGGGTCTGAATGGGGAACAGGCTTCAGTTGAGCCCTGGTCAGATAGAGTCGCTGTGGGTGGAGGAGTATCTGGGAGTTCGTCATCTTTGGTTCTGAATTAGGATGCACTATCCCAGACAGACCCACTGCATTATCTGTGGGTCCTTCCGGACTCACAAATCCTGTTCAAGGAGCAGGTGGCAGTCGTCACTAGGAGAGCCTTTGCTCAATTTAGTTTGTGTATCATTTATGCCACTTCCTGGATAGGGAGGCCTTTCACTCACTCATTCATGTCTTGGTCATTTCCCGTATGGACTATTGCAATGTGCACTACACGCGGCTACTCTTGAAAAGTATCCGGAATCTTTAACTGGTACAGTATGCACCCACGTGAGCAATTTTGGGTGATGAAAATACAGAGCATGCAACATCTCTGCTGCGCAAGCTGTATTGAATGGCAGTCTCCTTCCGGGTCCAATTCAAGGTGTTTAAAGTCCTATATGGCATGGAGCCAGGCTACTTGCAGAACAGTCTTCTCCCCATTACACTGACTCATCCCACCTGGTCAGGGAAAGAAGACATATTGTGCATTCTGCTGGTTAAAGAATTTCAACTGGCGAGGTTGCACCTGTTCTATGGAATATTCTCCAGCATGCAATCTTAGGGTTGGTTAATGCCTTAATGCCCCCCCCCCCACACACACACACTCCATCAGGGTGGAAACTTCTATGTTCTCTTTGTTTTCTCTTGACTGATACTACAGGAACTTGCAGCTGGCTGTTTACATGACTGTCTCCTGAATTTTTATCAGGCGTAGAACGGTTACACCTATATGGGCTGGAGGCGAAGACCTCTAGGATTGGTTTAAGATGGAGTTGACCACCTTAAGCTGAGAAGGAGGGAGGAGGAGCCAACGTTGTGACGATATGGACGTGCGGTCTCGATGCTCCGAGACCGCAGCCGATACTTTTGCCACTGGGTGGTCCAATTGGACCTAAACTGCCCCGCAGAGATGGTGAACAGGAAGAATATGTCTTGCTGATCTCAGGGACATTGCAAAGTCCCTGATCGATGGAAGAGAAGTTCTTCAAACTGGCGACAAAAAATCCAGCCAGGGCTGATGAAGTCGGGGCGGCTCCAAAATGGAAGGATATGGAAAGCGAAAGTGTTTCCAGCTGGTGAGGAATTTTTACCGTTTTAAAAAGAGACTGCCTATAAAAAACTTAAAATTAATTTAAACTGGAGAACAGAAGAAATAAGCGACGGAATTAAATTTGGAATGGTTTTGGACAGTGGGTTATCTTACTTTTTAAATGCTATCTTCATGGATGGAATTTATGCAAGTCTTTTAAAATGAATGGATTAAGTTTTCTTCTTCTATTTTTTTCTTTTTTATTATTCTTTTTAACATATGGACTAAAATTCTCCTCTTTCGTTACTGTGAGTGTTCTTCTAACTCACTCAAGAATCTGACTCTTTTTTTAAAATTTGAAATACAAAAAAGATACAAAAAGAAACAAAGAAAATTGCAACAATAACACTGCTACTCGGAGGCTGGAAGGTTTGTGTATTGGAAACGAAACACTCTTGTTTTTCTCACTGATTATCCTGGTTTGGCACTCCAACGTCTTGCTGCTTGTTTATAGAGCGTGATAAGAAGAAAAGCATACAGATGTCCCTTTGAAGTATATCTTTAACCAGAGAAAAGTAAAAATAAAACGTTATTGTGAATCTATGTTTAATCTTATTAACCTTCCAAGCTAGAGCAGCAGTGTTTGTTACCTGGAGAAAATGGCACAATTTCAACAGCAGAAAGAAACCTTGTCTGCAAAATATATTCTCAGAAACACAGAAATTATCAAATACATATGAGAGGATAGAGAAGAAGCTGGAAGACTTAGAGCATCTAAGAGCAAAATATGATGAAGAAGTTGAGGAGCTTTATCAAGTGGAAAAAGTGGTGGCTAAAACCCTAAAAATTGAAGAGGAAAATGAATATAAAGAAATTAAATTTGCTGATATTTACGGTGATTGGTTTGTCTCTGAAAAGGGAAAGAGTGAAATACTGAAAGAGGAACTAAATGGAGGGGAAATCTACCCCAGATGGCAAGATACAGAAGAAGAAAAAACAAAAGAATTTATGGATTTATGGATGCCTTGAATCATACCTCTTGCATTGGGAATTTTGTTCGTGCCTGTTTGGTGACGATAACTTATTAGGATCTGTTTGGTGTGTGGCAAAACCTGGCCTTTCAACAAAATCCCAGCTGCCAACCCTCTTTCCTTAGAAGACCCCATTAAGTGGAGTCTCCATGGATAAGATGCCTCAGCTCCTTTGAAGGCCTAAGCTTCCTACCAATGCCTCTGAGGAGCCTGTCCTGATGCTGGTGGCTTTTTGACAGATAGGCAAGAGCTGGAAAGAGACAACTTTCCTAACACAGGAAAGTGGAGCAGAGTTAGTACAGGAGACAAGCAGCAGGAGGCATTCATTGCCCTAACAGCCTTGTGCTGCTGGGTGATCCATGGCCTTTCAAACCCCAGCATGGAATCTTCTGCCACCCTGCTAGGCAGCTGGCAACCCGCAATCACAGCTAATTGGCCTCAACGCAGGTACCTGATTCAATCTCGCCTCCTTATTTATGGAGCCGACCAAGGAGGTGTTCACTGAAGACTGGGGGTGGGAAGAGACACAAGCTGGGGAGGCAGTCAGATAAAGGTCCTTTGATAGTGTGCAGAGAATCACGGTGGTAGTGAGGTTAAGAAATAGCAATAAGCACAGCACTTCAATCCCCCTCAAAGGTCAGTTGTTCTTCAGAAGCCTTAGCATTGCGAGGCTTTCTACTACCACGATATGCCTGCCGGTCCTGAACTGAACAAAAGGGAGCTGGCAAACGAGGGAGAATGAATCAATCTGTCCTTTATTCAACCAGTTCATTTAGGAGTTCTGCAGTTCCTTCCTCTGAAATATTGCAGGGATATTATCTGTTCCAGTCTTTTGTCCATAAGAGCAGGAGTAGTTAATGATCTCCTAGGCTGCCTCGCGCCACGGCTCTGCGTTTCTTGCCAGGAGCAGCTGCATTTCAACGCTGAGCTGCCAGTGCCCGATCCAAGCGGCTGCCCACACGGATCGAGGTGGTTGGTCTTTGCTACCTAAGCAAGAAACGTGGTGCTTGCCATGGAAACAGCTGTTAGAAAGCTGCTGCTGTGTATGTTTCTGTTGCTATGGCAATGTTTCCTGGCAGCAGCCCTGTACATTGTCACTCCCCCTCCTCCAAACTGTCATCTCCCTGCACCCCCTCATCCATCCCAGCAAATTCCTAGCAACCTGCCGCTACATTAGCCTCGTGGCTGGCTTGCCCAAGCACTCACTTGGCAACCTCAGCCGCGCACTCCACGGAGGGAGTGACCTGGAGTTCTTGGCTCCCTCTTCTCGCTAAGTTCTAACCTTGCAGCTCCCAGAGTTGGGGATAAAAGTCCAGGGAGGGCATATGCAGCCCGTGGGGTGGAGGGGAGGGCTGTCTAACTTGTGACAGGGACCTACCTCTCTCTCCCCAGCAGCTCTAGGCTTGTCTCCCAGCTTAGCTACAACATATGAAGGCGGCACTTTGGGTCTCTGCATTTGTAGCACCAGATGGGATGGGACGATGACTGCAAGCAGCTCTCTCCCCTCCTCCACCTGACATCACAGGAATGTTATGTAAATGGGGGGGGGAGTTGTCACTATTTCTTTCTCTCTGCACATACAGTGGCATTGAAGACAGGAGGACAGAACTTGCTGGGAGTGGTGGTGGGGGTGGAATGTTGCACAACAAAACCTAGGAGAGATGGCTCAACCATACATTGGGTCTGATTCAGTGACGTGCAGTGAGGTTTATGGCTGGCGAGGCAGTCCTCTCCCCCGACACCCCACTGGCTAAAGCACTTTCTTTCGCCCGTCTGTGCTTGTGGCGGAGCTCAGGCAGGCGAAAGAAAGTGCTTTAGNTTTTTAAAAAAAAAACTTCCTCCATAGCTGCTAATTGAAGTCCATTTTTTTAAAGTATTTTTTTTTTTTTGCTAGTTTTCCCTAACACATCTAGTTCTGTTTTCCTTGGGTTTTGGAGAGGTATCCAACGGATAGACAGATGAATAAGGAAACATTATTTTGGGTTGGGGAAAAAAAGAAAAAGGCTGTGAGTGGGGACTCTCCGCCTCCCAGGTTCCCAGGTCCTTTGCATGGTCGGGAAGATTAAAGCATAGCAGTGTATGACAGACTCAGCCAAACACATCTGCATGTGTCTCACCATATCTTCTCTTGCATCTGAAGTAACCTGAGGAAAGCTTACTGTGTTACAATCTAGAAATGGCATTTTCCCTACTATCCTCCTTTAAAAGGCTGCGTGTTGTCTATAAAGGGCATTTTGATGTTCACGGGAGTGGCAACCCAAAAACCATTTCGATTTCAGCAATCTTGGGAGTCAAGTTGATTCTGCCATTTTTCTGTGGGAATGTCCTCTTCAATCTAGTGCCAGACTTCATTGCTGCCCTTTATTCCTCTTTTGGCTATGATGGAGGACTGGATCTCTGGTGCCCGCAATCCTCTTTTTACCCAATAAGATTTAGGATGACATGATTTCCTGCTGGCTTTCAGATGGAAGAGTACAGCAGAACAATTATGTGGCAATGGTCCTGACATTCTTTGTGGTTCATTGCTTGTACATAGATCTATAGACAGGGAAGGGATGGTTGAGTTGTTTGCAATGTGTGACGGCAGCTCTTCTTTTGGCGGGGGGAGGACAAAAGAGAGATTATAACTCTGGGAGGTCATTCTGTCAGTCTGTCAATCTGTTCTAAATTGTCATTTGGATCCCTGGTGATTAAATATAAGCATAAAACCTGATAACCATTATATTATTTTCTCATCCTTGAAATATAATAGTAGTTCTTGCTAGTCTAAACTTTATCCAAATTCACCAATACTGAACTACCCATCAACCTCTCCATCATCCCTTAAGAACATTACAGAGAGTAGTAAAACACCATTCTGGTCAATTTATGAAAACGGCATAGAATAGTAGAACACTTACGTTTTGATTACCTGTCCCAGGTCATATCTGTCAGTCACCTCAGATGGCTGGTTATAATCCTTCTTATCTCCCAAGGTAACACATCCAAACGGCATTGCCAAGCCTGATACTGAAAAATAAGTGCATAAGGAAGGCTCTGAGTCATCATTTATGAGTACAGGTAGTTTGTAGCACCCCAGGATCTTGATTGGGCATCTAGAGAGATCCACTCACCACTGCTTCCCTGAGCGAGCTGAATGTGAGCAGGTGCAGTTAGACAGTCACATATGCTCAGGTGTGGCTTGCTGTGACAGGCTGGGAAGCATTTGGGGTGCATTGCTCCATGAAAAGATTGACCCCAAGCTCCAGTGAAAGAGATTCCATGTTGACGATTCAAAACAGAATGGAAAATAAAACTTCCCTATTGTAACATCTTTGTAAAAGTTAGGGAGGCAGACCCGTTTGGAATGATCATTTATAAACCTCAGATCATAAATGGTGTTGCTGGAAAATGGGCATGCTGTCAAAATGATCAAAAAGGAGATCCTCAATAAGATAACATTACGGGGATATATTTTTTTTAGTGAGCTGGCATGCATAGAAACTAAAATTTGAGAATATGTTGTGGTGGCTTTTTTCAGCATTCGCCAGATAGCTATCCCAGAGAGTATAATCCAGAGGTGGGTTCCTACCAGTTCGCACCTATTCGGTAGAACCGGTTCGTCAAATCTACCGAACCGGTTAGAAGAGGTTCCACCAGTGGACCCGGAAAGCAGGCCACACTTACAGGAGAGGTTCCAAAATTTTTTGAAACCCACCACTGGTATAATCCATCACAAAAAACCGGTTGTTGAACTGCAACTCCTTGCAGTGCATCTGTCAGGGTTACAAGTAATACACCCAATGGAAACAACACTCCAAGGAAGGCATGTTCCTCAACGTGTAGATTTATTAGGCATGTCATATTGGCACATCTGGGGAAATCCGACTCTAAACCCAACTCGGGTTTCCTCTTAGTGAAAAGTAGAATTTACTTTCCGCTGCCCATGTAGTCCATCAGGTGGTCCAATCAGGCCACAGCCAAAGGGTCGTCGCTTGGTCTCAGATCCCACCTCCTTGCACCTGGTGGGAAAATTCTTGATTCTCAGAAGAAAGAATTTTACTATGGCTACAATCCTCTAGCTATCTCTTCCTCCCGCCTCCCGTTCCCACAGCTTCACTCGCTTAGCTGTGGCAGCTCTGAAAGTGCCTGGGGGGAATGGGAATGGCTCCAGGGCTGACATTATCTTCAATATTGTCCATCCTGGTTGAGATTGTTGGGGAACTTATGTTTAGTAACATGAGATTCAGTGTAGTTTAATGTAGTTTAATAATTAAACAATACTGTGAACATCTTATCTACTTATTTATAGAGGTGGTATTCAGCCGGTTCTCTCTGGTTCAGGTGAATCGATAGCGGAGGCTGTGGGAGGCTCTGCCCCCCACCCCCATGTAATGCGCGAACACTGCACATGCGCAGATGAGGCACATGCAAGCAAAGGACCTGTGCACACTCACATTTGCAAACCAGTAGGGAAGGGAAGTTAATCCCCCCCTTGCTTATAGGCTATGGCAGTCTGATAAGGAACAACAGGCTTCAGTTGTCTGAAAAGTCTGAGTGACTCTGTGTTTTGGAGCCAACTGTCTCTAGGATGTTACCCTCTTTATGGAGCTGTGCTGTCACAGACAGACCCGGTGCTCAATTTGGAGGTCCTCCTAGACTCATGATGGTGAACCTATGGCATGTGTGCCACAGGTGGCACGCAGCATCCTCTCTGTGGGCATGTGAGCCATCACACCAGTTCAGCTCCACTGTGCATGCATGCATGCCTCCTGCCAGCCAGCTGGTTGTTGGGTCTCTGTTGCGCATGCATGTGGGGTGGGGGGGGGCATATGGGAGGAAGAGTGTGTGGGGGCGCACATGCATGCGCAGAGGGTGGGGGCATGCATACATAACTGCATGGGGGTGGGGCACATGTGCGGCTCATGTGTGGGGCACATGGACAATGCATTTTGGGGGTTTGGCCGTGACTCTTTGGGCACTTGGTTCAGAAAAGGTTAGCCCTCACTGTCTTAGACTCTCAACTCCTGCTCAAAGAGCAGGGGGCAGCCACGGCTTGGAGGATCTTTGCACAGCTTTGTGTAGTGTGCCAGTTGCGCCCATTTCTTGATCAGCAGGCTCTGCTCATAATCACTCATGTCCTAGTCACCTCCTGATTGGACTATTTAATGTGCTCAACACGGGGTTGCACTTGAAGAGTATCTGGAAGCTTCAGCTGGTGCAAAATGCAACAGTATGGGCAATTACATGTGTTTCTAGAATAGAGTATGTTATACTTCTGGTCCCCGAGCTGCACTGGTTGCCAATTCACATCTGGATACAATTAAAGATGCTGATTTTAATCTTTAAAGCCCTTCATGGCACGAGATCAGACAATCTGAGGGACTTCTCCCTGATTACACCAGTCTGCTCCATCAGATTGGGTAGAGAGGGAATGCTGTGGATACCCTCTGCCAGGAACCTATATTTAGTGGATCCCAGGAAGTGAAGCTTCTCTGCCATGGCAACTGTCTTATGCAACATCCTCTGCCCTGCGTCTCCCCAACATTAGGTTAGTTCCATGATCCTTCCTGATGTTCTGGAAGTCTCTCAAGTGAGGGTCATAGGTTTGAGGGTCCCAAGGAAGTGGAATATAGTCCTTTTTCTGTTGGGGTTTCTGTATTTTATTTTTATAATATTTAACTTTTAATATTTATTTTTTCATTTTTAATTATTGTTGATGTATATACATTGTTTTATATCTGATTGTTGTAAGCTGCCCAGAGTCACTGGGCAGCCATAAAAATTAGACAGACAGACAGACAGACAGACAAAATAGATTGATTCTTCCAGTCAGCAAACTTATAACAGATGAACTGGTCTAACTGTCTGTACTTGGAAAAACTGATGAGATGAATTAAACTCAAAATATTTGGTATGAATGCTATTTATTTTAAAAAATATACTGGTAATAAAATATTTTAAATCTGTTTTTCTATAAAAAATTCAGAACAGCATCTTTGATCAATACTTTCCTTTACAGCTAGCAATTGTTTCACTTCTCTTTTTTGCGGGTATAATTTTTGTTAAAATTCTTAAACAAGAAAATAAAAATGGACACAAAGTCGTAGAAAGTAAGGAAGAATAAAGAAATTAAAGAAAAAGCAGACAGTGGAAGAAAATGAAAACAAGTGAAAAAAATAGTAGAGAAAAAAGTATAAAGAAATGGCTTCTGATATTTTTACAGCAGTTCTAAGTATACATATATTTGAGCTCCCCCCACTCTAAAGTTACATCATATTATTCTTCTTTCTGTAATCTATCCTGTCTAATCATCAAAACCATAAATCATTTTTTTCATTTTTACTCAAAAAGTCCATAAGAGGCTTTAAACCAACAACAAATGTTGATAAGCTTCTTGTGACTGCCTAGACTAGTCCTCGCATCTTTATTGCCAAATGTTTCTGAAAGATTTCCCCTTGCCTCCTTCCTAGGCCTGATAGAAAGTAACCAGCCCCCAAATCACACAAGTTTTATGCCAAAAAACGGAACTAAATCTCATACATTAGTCTTCTAGTTTCTAACATAACGCTTTAACCACTACACCAAATTGGATCCCCAATAAACATTATAAACAATAATTTAGGCACACTTCTGTGTGCAAAAGCCATTGTTCAGGGAAGTGGTGTTCTTCAACATCTCATAGTAAAATAGTGTTTTGAGAAGAATAAATCCAAAGAATGAAAATTTCCATAGACCCCACTTTGCAAGATTGTCCAATAATCCTTGCAAAAGTTTGCATGAAAGGATTTGGATGACAGAATTGGTCATTATATTTCCTCCTGGCTTTGAATATTTTTTATTTCATTTTCATTTTCATTTTCATTTTCATTNAGTGATCCAGGCTGCCAAGTTACTACCGGTTCAGCCAAACCGGTAGGAATCTACCTCTGAAACCAACTCTCACTATTTTTTAGAACAGGAGTCTCCAACCTTGGCAACTTTAAGAGTTGTGGACTCCCAGAATTCTTCAGCCAGCAAAACTGGGGTAGCGTTAGGGTTATGGAAGGGATGAAATGCTCTGAAGTCTGCTACCAGTTCGCTTTGCTACCAGTTTGTTTTGCATGTTACCATGCAGCACTGAAAAAAGGAGGATTAAGAAGCCCTTTCTGAGTCTGCAAAGATAAGGGGAACAGCGAGGAGGGGAACAGCTGTGCCGTGTGATTTAGATTTGCTAAAATGCAGGATATAAATCATGTGGCACAGCTGATTGTCACACAGCTGATAATCGGAACTACCAGTTCGCCTGAATCGTTAGCATTTTTTTTTACTATAGTTCGGGCGAACCAGGTTAGAGTTAGGGTTAAGGTTTGGGTTAGGGCTAGGGCTAGGGTTAGTGTGAGGGTTAGTGTGAGGGTTAGGATTAGGGCTAGGACTAGGGTTAGGGTTAGGGCTAGGGTTAGTGTGAGAGTTAGTGTGAGGGTTAGGGGCTAGGGTTAGTGTGAGAGTTAGGGTTAGGGTTATGGTTGGGGCTAGGGCTAGGGCTAGTTTGAGGGTTAGGGTTAGGATTAGGGCTAGGGTTTGGGTTAGGGGCTAGGGTTAGTGTGAGAGTTAGGGTTAGGGTTAGGGTTGGGGCTAGGGCTAGGGCTAGTGTGAGGGTTAGGGTTAGGATTAGGGCTAGGGTTTGGGTTAGGGCTAGGGTTAGTGTGAGAGTTAGTGTGAGGGTTAGGGCTAGGGCTAGGGTTTGGGTTAGGACTAGGGTTACTGTGAGGGTTAGGGCTAGGGCTAGGGTTAGTGTGAGAATTAGTGTGAGGGTTAGGGCTAGGCCTAGGGTTAGGGTTAGTGTGAGAGTTAGGGTTAGGGTTAGAGCTAGGGTTAGTGTGAGGGTTAGTGTGAGGGTTAGGGTTAGGGTTAGTGTGAGAGTTAGGGTTAGGTTTAGGTTTAGGGCTAGGGCTTGGGTTAGGGCTAGTGTGAGGGTTAGGGCTAAGGCTAGGGTTAGTGTGAGACTTGGGGTTAGGGCTAGGGTTAGAGCTAGGATTAGTGTGAGAGTTA